GAGGGTGAAAAGGCCGCAGGACCCAGGGACAGGTCCTTCCTCAGCTGGAGAACCGCTCCTTGCTGTGTTCCAAGGGGCTGGACAGACAGCTGGAGAGCACAGCCCAAGGCCTGGGCTGGTCAAAGGGCGCATCTGCAGGAGCAAGGGTTGGGGAGAGGGGCAGCGCGGCTTAGGGGAGGTGTGGGCTGTCCTTGCGAGATGCAGGGGTTGAGGCAAGGCTAGGACTGCTCTCTCTGCTTTGCCAGTCACTAGCGTGAGGCTTGAGGAGTCCATGGATTCCTGGAAAATTAAGGCATATTTGCCAGGGTAAGAACAATTTATTAGCTCAATTTATAACTTCTGAATATTTAGGTGTGTGGTATATGGATCTCCATTTCCACTCTTGACGGGGCCCTGCAAATATTAGACAAGACTATGCATGTGTATATAATTTGTAGGTATTTTCTGTGTGTCTTTATTTACTTATAATCTGTATGTGGAATATCTACGTGAGAATTCTGAGATTTCAGTAATAAAATTGGATTTATAGTAGTTTTTTTAATTTAAAAAGTTTTAATACAATTTTTAGAGATTAGTTTCCGTTTAGTTATTACAAAACATTGGCTACTTTCCTCATGTTGTATGATACATCCTTGTAGCTTATCTTACACCCAGTAGTTTGTACCTCTCACTGCCCCAACTCTATATTGCTGCCCTCCCCTCAAAACTGGTAGCCACTAGTTTGTTCTCTATGTCTCTGAGTCTGCTGCTTTTTCGTTTTATTCACTAGTTTGTTGTATTTTTTAGATTCCACATAAGTGATACTATACAATATTTGTCTTTCTCTGACTTATTTCACTTGGTGTAATGCCCCCCAAGTCCACCTGTGTTGCTGCAAATGTCAAAATTTCACTTTTTTTTACAGCTGAATATATATTCCATTGTGTGTGTGTGTATATATATATAAATACCATATATATATAAATATATATATAAAATCATATATATATATATAAATACCACATCTTCTTTATCCATTCTTCTGTTGATGGACACTTAAGTTGCTTCCATTGTCTTAGCAACCATAAATAATGCTGCTATGAACACTGACTGGGGTACATGTATCTTTTCAAATTAGTGTTTTTGTTTTTATCGAATATATACCCAGAAGTAGAATTGCTGGGTCATATGGTAGTTCTACTTCTAGTTTTTTTGAAAAAACTCCATACTGTTTCCCACTGTGGCTGTGCCAATTAACATTTCCACCAATAGTGTATGAGGGTTTCCTTTACTCCACATCCTCTCCAACATTTGTCATTAGTGGTCTTTTTGATGATAGCCATTCTGCCAGGAGTGAGGTGATACTTCATTGTGATTTTGATTTGCATTTCTCTGATGATTAGTGATGTTGAGCATCTTTGCATGTGCCTGTTGGCCATCTACATTTCCTCTTTGAAAAAATATCCATTCAGTTCTTCTGTCAATTTTTAATTGGGTTGTTTGTTTTTTGATGGTGAGTTATATGTGCTGTTTATTAATTATTACGTTGGATATTAATTCATTATTGTCTATTTCATTCACAAATATTTTCTCCCATTCAATAGGTTGTCTTTTAATTTTGTCAGTGGTTTCCTTTGCCTTGCAAAAGTGTTTAATTAGATCCTGTTTATTTTTGTTTTTATTTCCTTTACTTTAGGGTACAGATTCAAAAAAATACTGCTGTGATTTATGTCAAAGAGTGTTCTGCCTATTTTCCTCTACAAATATTATAGTATCTGGTCTTATAGTTAGATCTTTAATCCATTTTGAGTTTATTTTTGTATGTGGTGTTAGAGAATGTTCTGTTTTCATTTTTTTATATGTCGCTGTCCAGTTTTCCCAGCACCACTTATTGAAGAGACTGTCTTTTCTCAATTGCATATTCTTTTCTCTTTTGTTGTATATTAATTGACCATAAGTACGTGGGTTTATTTTTTGGCCTTCTATCCTGTTCCATTGATCTGTGTGTCTGTTTTTGTGCCAGGACCATATTGTTTTAATTACTGTAGCTTTGTAGTATAGTCTGAAGTCAGGGAGTGTGATTCCTCCAGCTCTATTCTTCTTTCTCAAGATTGTTTTGGCTATTCAGAGTCTTTTGTCTTTCCATACAAATTTTAAAATTGTTCTAGTCCTGGGGTATTTTGGTATTTTGATATGGATTGCATTGAATCTGTAGATTGCCTTCGGTGGCATGGTCATTAACCATATTGATTCTTCCAATCCAAGATGGTATGTTTTTCCATCTGTTTATGTTATCTTAAATTTCTTTTGTCAGTGTCTTATAGTTTTCCAAATACAGGGTCTTTTGCCTCCTTAGGTAGGTTTATTCCTAGGCTTTTTTGTTTGTTTTGTTTTTTGATGCATTGGTAAGCGGCATTTTATTTGAATAGCTTACATTGACAATTTATCAGGGAATAAAAATAACTTTCATCATAAATGGCCTTTACCAGAATTTGCAAACAAAGATGAGAATGGCAGCTATGTAGCTATCTACCAATAGTCTGGTCTTCCTCCTTCAAGGAATATAGTAAGATTATATTAGGCGTGGCTATGTGGCAAGTTTTTTTTTTAACTTTGGCTTAGACTCTTTTTATAACAGTTTTGAGACATACGCATATAAAATTTACCCTTTTAAAGTATACAATTTTGTGGATTTTAGTATTTTCAGAGTTACGCAACATCACTATTAACTTTAGAACATTATTATCGCCACACACACACACACACAAGCCATACCCATTAGCAGGGTGTGACTAAGTTTGACCATTGTAATCTGAACAGAAAGGATGTGCATAATTACACACCAAGTCTTTTCACAGCTAGTGCTCAGCTCACCATGTTCTCCCCTGGCCATGGTGATGAATGTATTCCAGAGGTGAGGTTTCCTGAGCCTGCATCTCGGTGAAATGCAGTGAGTGAGAATGAAAATGGAGCCTTAAGGAACCAAAAGGGTGATTAAGGAATAAAGCTCTGTTGTCTCAAGCCACTACGATTTTGAGGTGGTTTGTAAACATGGCAAGATGTAGCCCAACATGACCAAAGCACACAAGATAAAGGACTGCTTGGTCAGAAAGCATTTAGGGGAGGCAGAATTCTTTAAAACATGTTTAGAAATTGTGATTCTAAAATGACTCATTACTACTTACCCTTTTAAAAATGGAAAAAGAGTCAGATGATCATTGAAAAAAATTGACTTCATTTGAGCTAAGAAAAGGACACTTGATAACTTACACTTACCAAAGAGAGGGTTCAATATGACTCCATCATGAACTTTGTTTTTGCTATGGGAGCAAGATAGGTAGGTATCACTGTTTGAGGTTTCTTTCTGGAATTCTACCTGGAATTTATTTGGACTGTGGTATAGGATGGGGTCCTTGATTTCTTTCCTCAAATCACTTATTCTTCAGCTTATTAAGCATAATGTAATCTTTCTTCTTAAATGAGTAATTCCAATACCTCAGGTCTCCATTTTCAATATTACTGTTTAGTGTGATAAAAAATTATGTGAGATATTCTGTAGATCTTAATTAATGGGCTCCATTCATTATTCTTGCTACCAGCACGGCTGAGGTTCCAATTATACATCGTCACTTCAAAATCTTACCATTTAATCCTCCATGCTTTTCCTCTCTCCTCCTGTAATCAATTCTATACTAGCTGTCAGATTAAACTTCCTAAAATGTAGTCCTGATCATGACACTTCCCTACACGAAGACCTAAAGTGGCTCTCAGAAAATATAAAATAATTTAGACAGGTATTTGTATTACTTTGCTAGGGCTGCTGTAACAAAGTGCCACTAACCAGGTGGCTTAAACAAAAGATAATTTCACAGGTCTGGAGGCGACAAATCTGAGATGAAGGTGTTGACAGGGTTGGTTCCTTCTGTGGCTGTGAGAAAGAACCTGTTTCATGCCTCTCCTTTAGTTTCTTGTGGTTTTTTGGTAATCTCTGGCACTCCTTGGCTTGTGGAAGAATCACCCCAATCTTTGTCTTCATCTTTACATGGCTTTCTCCTTGAGTCTGGGGCCAAATTTCCTCCCTGTATCAGGTATCAGTCCTATTGGATTAGGGCCGCACTCTACTCCGATATGACCTCATCTCAGCTAATGTTACTGCCTGCAATAACCTCATTTCCAAGTAAGACCACATTCTAACGTACTAGGGTTTAGGACTTCAGCATGTGAATTTGGAGGGAGGCAGACACAATTCAACTTATAACAGTATTGGAAGCCCCCTATAAGGTTTTCTATTTTCTACTTCTCTTTCAGCTTTATTTCCTCATACCTTACTACTTCACCTACACCTGAGGCAATGTAGACAACAAAAAGCCCTGCTTTTGTGGAAACACAATACTTTCCTGTCTCTGCATTTCTTTTCCTCTAGTTCTCTAAACCCTCTCATCAAATCCTATTCACTCTTCAGGGTCAAGCTCAAATCATCCTTCTTCCTGGAGCATAAACCTAAGTTTCCCATCCAGAAATAACTGCTTTCTTTTTTGCCTTCCTAAGTATATTACTTGCACTCTCTTATGGAATTTAGCATGTAACTTGTAACTTACGTTGTATGTGGCTTATAAGGTCTTTTTTCCTTACCTGACTGTAGGTCCCTTATGAGGATCAGGCACACACTAGTGTTATTTTCCCCAGTGTTCTTCAAAGTGCTTTACGACAAATACTTATTGATCAAAGTTATAACTATCATAGAAATTACAGTTTAAAATCTTTATCAGTTATTTTATCATTATTATTTACTTAAGACGGGAAAAAATGTTACTAATGGAAGCTTTTGACTTCAATATACATTATGGAAACACACATATTTTCAATCCAGTCCATAGTTTTAGATCCTAATCCTGAGCCTGTCTAACAAGGTGAAATTACCAGAATCCAGTAAGAGCCCATTAAACAACTCTAAACTTTTTCCTTTAATACTGTTTTTAGAAGTTTCAATGACACAGAAAGAAGTTTCACTTAATACATTATTATGGTTGAATAAATATTTATTAATCCCATTCTAGGTAGTTCAAACTTATTTTTTTAAAAGGGGAGAACATTCCAAAAAAAATTAAAACTAAAGACATCGTACCAATACCAGACAAATATTTGAGTGTTCTGAGCTAGAATTTAGTTTACTTCCTAAAAAGCAAGCATGCTTTGCCTGTTCCTTTTTTTAGAAGAAAAAGTGAATTCTATATATTATATGCTTCCTTCACCTTTATATATATATGCACTGACATTCAAATGAGGTACAACTTTAGATAAATAAATAGTTATAAAATAAATCTTCTGAATTTAGTCATTGAGAGTGTCAAGACACTTTTTCTATGTAACATTTTTGAATGGAAAAGATACCAAGATTCAAGGAGATATACTTTCTAAACAAGCACTTAAAATAAATGTTGGCATTTACTAACTTAAGTACTCAAGGACTTGGTTTGAAGAGTCCAATAGACTAAAAGTCTGCTTTTCAAGAGTACTATGATCGCCTATCAATGGAGAGATTTTGGCATTTCTGTATTCTAACAGTTCACGATCCTTGCTTGATGTCAGTAGTTCATTATCGACTACTCCAATAGTTGCATCTTCTACCAGAATATTTGCTTGGTATGCTCCAACTGGAATTTCAGGCAATCCAATGTAGTCATGATCTGCCACTACTGAACCTTGTAAGAGATAAAGACTGTCTGAAAGAAGAAACATTACAATTTAGCCTTTTAGAATTACAATTAAATATCATTTTAAAATTAAACAATGTTAAATGAGGAACAAAATCCCAAGTAATAAAAATTAACTATCAAGATTAATTTCAGGTTAGTTCTCCTGTCTACCAAATAAATCCACATGTTGAAAAAGGAATAAAATGAGATACAAATTTGGCAGTTCATATATACTGAATTCAGGAGAGACCAAGAAATTAAAAAGATCCAAGCTTTCCTGTTCTCTTGACCTGTCTTTGGTAGGTGTGGGTGAGGGGGTGGAAGAGGCTGAGAATTATGGTACAGGTTAAAAACAAAAGTTATAAAACTGTATTTTTGATGTTCATGATATCCTTAAATACTTCTGCAAAGCATTTCTGGTGAATTATAATGGGGTCTTGAAAGATATTTTGACAAACAGAATTGTTAAATCCATACATTTTCAATTTTAAGTAATTTGCTATTCTTTATAGAGTCCATATTAGGACAATGATATCAAATTGTTATAATATGAAGTTATAAACTAAAATGAAGATAAAGTTCCTAGAATCAGGCTATGTGATAGGAATGTGAAAGTAGAAAGGCTACAATGAATCACATTAAAAAGTTTAGCTTACCTAAGTGTAACTTAATACCAAAATCCTCATGAACTCTTAAGGTGTAGCTAAATCCATACGGAAATATTGACAAAAAATTTTCCTTGTCAGCATTTTATTTTATTTTGGGCAAATTTGTCATCACTATCAAAAAAGGAAAATGCTTCAAATGGATGTTAAACTGATGGCAAAGCAGCAGCATCTTTATAAATAAAAGGTTAATGTATATGAAAGAATTCCTCCTTACTTGATATTTTAATTCATTACAACAAGGAACTCTTCCACCACAGCTGATTAACTTCCTGAAATCCTGCCGTCTCTTTCTGGATTTTCTCCCAAAACATTAACGGTCTTTTAAAGATTTTAATAGCTTAGTCCTCAAATTTTAAGTTCAAGAAATAGCAAAAGGAACATTAATTGCCCATTCAGATTAGAGATCCATGAAAGTTTCTCAAAAAAGATAAATTTGCTAACATATCCTAGAACATGATTCCAACCTACCCATGCTCATACTAATACGTGAAAAGCTCATGAGCCTATTCAACCCCAGAAGTTACAAACTTAAGAATTTTAAATTTACAGACATCAAAAGATCAAACAAAGCTATGCTTTATCCCAAGATACGGCCTAAGTGGACTTGAGTTTGTATGGGCATTGAGTTCTGCCCATTTAGTTCTTCATCAGTCAAAGTGTACTCGGTATTTTAGTTTTGAGAAGTTTTCCAAGTTTAATCCCACCAATTCTTATTAATGCAGAAGTAGTAATTAGATTAAAAATGCTGTTAAAAAGATACACATGTAAATAAAAGTATAGATAACTGACGGTAGTAAGAAAATGCTTTTTGTACATCCATTGGTAGGGGATGAATTGCTGGACAAGAGAACAATTCTTAAAGATAAATAAATCATGCTACCCGTGAGGAGTGCTCTGTTCAACAGCAGCAAAAAAAGAGAAAAGATGATCAGTGAAACTGAAACACTTTTAGGATGTGTTGCTAGAGGTTTAACAACAAAGTTTGCTATTCGCCTGTGAACAGTGGAGAGGGCGAGGTAGTAATTTAAAGGAGACCTGAAAAAGGCTAAGTGTGGTAAAAAGCATTGCTAATATGCTAAAATATTTCTAATAATCTGTGGAGCATTTGATAGGTAGGTTCGGGGTCCGCACGGTGCTGTGAAGTACTAATGACAGCGGCTGCTGCAGCACTTCAGGTATATCCAAATGTCTTTGCAGAGATCATCGATGAAGGAAATTTTTTTTTTAAGCAAGGAAATTTTCTATCTCAAAAATTTTTTCCCATACAAATGAAGCAGGTCTATTTTAGAAGAGTATGTCCAGTAAACATGTATCAACAGGGGAAATACAGATAGATGTAAAGCTCTTAGAAGTTATCACTTTTATTTCCTAGAAATGCATTTAAAGACCTGGAGCTTAAGCACCTCCAAGTTACTTGAAGAAACAAATGGACTTTACCAACCTCACTTGTTTGTAAGAGGAGAGCGTCTTCATGTAAGTAAGCGAAAGCAATATATATCTTAATACACACACACAGTTTTTCTTTTAAATAAGTGAAACTTTAAAGTAACTTACTGTAATATAACTGTAGAGAATAAGGATTATACTCAGCACATTCTACACAAATCACATTATATGTAATGGAAAACTACTCTGGAGATTTTAAGCCTTGTTTGTGTAGGAAAAAAACCCAAAATACTCATTCATTTGGAAAGGTCAGGTATGTTTCAACTCCTACTATGCTCTAAATCTAGTGGAGCCAACAGAAATGCTCTTTAACTTCAAAAAAGATTACCAAAGATTGCCAGAAAGAGACTTTTGAGGCCTTGTATACATGTTGAAATCGTACTATATTAGATATGTTGGGTTATAAAATCTATTATTAGAACTATCTTCACCTGCTTCTTTGTACCTTTTTAACATGGCCACTAGAGATTTTAGATTACACATTACATAGTTTTTGCATTATATATCCACTGGCCAATGCTAATCTAGAATAATCCTGAGTTACGGCTATAGAAAGGAACACGGTAAGTTTTTGCTCCCAAGATACAGAGAGAGGTGAACACACCATACTAAAGGATCTTTTCTACTCAGTCACACTACATGATAAACTTTGCTTAAGTATTTTTATTTTCTCATTCTATTGATTTAGTTACAATTATGACATGTTTGATGGAAGCATTATTTCAGTTTTGATGAGACTGAATAATAAAGTCTTTAGTTTCTTAGAAGCAGAGGTATTTTCAAGACATTTCAGGAAGGTGTCACCAGCAGTTTTGACATACTTTTCCTTATATAGTTTTAAGGAGTGAAAAATGAGATTAAGAAATAAATTTAAAAATTTCCCTAAGGAGAAAAAGAAGTTAAAATCAAAGCCTGAGAAAGGTCTGAGTGATTTGGATTAATTTATTGCTCCAAATAGAAAGAAAAGTGCAAGGTTTCCAGAATGCTTAATTGTTTTTATTCTGAAGAGAGGTGACTAAACTAATCCTATATATGGCCTGATACCCTAAAGCTACTACAATGTGTTGCCATATTAGTACATCTTTTCTCATGATAAAATAACAACAAATAGCTATAATTTGATACAAATAATAGTCAATTATAATAGATAACCAATTGTAACACAGAGAACTAAGGGGCCAAAGGGAGGTGCTTTGCAAAAACTACAGCTGGCACTCCTTACTTCAAGGTTTGCATCCGAGGCTGGGTGAACCTGCAGTTGGTGGAAGCTGTGAGTGCAGGGGCTGAGACGGGGGGGGGGGGGGCAAGGGGCTAGGGGAGGACTGTCCTATGCCATTTTGTATCAGGGACCTCAGCATGAGAAGGTTTCGGTATTCGTGGGGATCCTGGAACCGATCCTCTGTGGATACAAATGCAGATACTACATATTTATAAGAAAGTCAAGCTCACGGGCTTGATAACATAGAAACTAAGCTTTGTTTTGTTTTGTGAGTGTAGCCTGTAACTGTGGTAGGCAGAATAACAGGCCCCTAAAGATATTCGTGTACTAACTCCTGAAACTTGTGAAAACCTTAACTTACATGGCAAAGGAGAATTAAAACAGTGATGGAATTAAGGTTACTAACCAGTTGACCTTAAAATAGGGAGGTAATCCTGGATTATCAGAGTGGGCCCAACGATAAGGGTCCTTAAATGTGGAGGGGGAAGGAAAAAGAGGAGGGTGGAGTTCTGAAATATGAGAACTCTACCTCTATTGCTGGTTCTGAAGACAGAAGAGGACAACCAGCCAAGCACTGTGGGTAGGCTGCAGAAAGTGGAGAAGGCACAGAACAGATCCCCTTCTAGAGCTTCCCGAAAGGAACTAAGCCCCACCAACACTTTGATTTTAGCCCCATGAGACCTATGTTGGACTTGTAAGTATAGAATTGTAACTAATAAGCTTGTGTTGTTTTAAGCCACTAAATTTGTGGTAATTGGTTATGGCAGCAATAGGAAACTTATAAAATAATGAAAACCAATTCACAAACTATGAAGAGCAATCAGACCAAAACCTCTGGTGGAGTTGGGGGAGGCAGACACAAATTTATCACAGTAATTCTCACTCAAAACAAAACAAACATAAAACTCCTCAAAATCTATGTCAGACAGAATAGTGGGTCAGTAACAGTTTTCCTTTCAAAGGGAAACATTATGATCACAAAGAAACAGTATGGTATGTCGTAAAGTTTCTTGTTAATTAGTTTTGAATTAACACGTAGTTTTGAAAAGGTGCCTGGTATCGAACTAGACAAAAAGGCAAGTAGGCCTGCTTAAAATAGCAATGAGGAATATTGTTGACCAAGTACTGAATGTGCTCCCTTTACGTTATATTCTAGATAAGAATGGATAAGCAGTTGGCAACAGAAGTGTATCTGCTTTGGACAGTGAGCTTTAACAGTTATGAAATCTCAAGGCTGGGAAGAGCAGCAATGCAGATAGACAAATTCATAGTTCTTTAGGCTACACTGTGTTCAAATCTATGTCAAATAAAAGAATGGGATGACTACTCAAAGACATTCTGTTTGCTTTAAATTTAGTTCTAAGACTCTTTAAAATCAGCTTTTGAGGTGACAATTTTCAGGGAAAAAAATACGTGGTACCATAGAAAAAGATGATAGGAATCACATTTGTTTTGAATTTCTACAAATAAGAGAAACACAAAACAAGACCAAATAGTAAACAAGAACAAGACTCCAGGATAGCCAGATCAGCCTTTGATTAACAAAAACAAAACAAAACAAAACAAAACAATTTTATCCATCAATCTCAGGTTCTTTATATGTACACTAGTACTAATACTTCAGTTTCCTTTATTTTACTGGAAAAAGTATCTGCAGAGAATTCAACCATGAAGCAAAAATGATACTGCCTCTGTTCAGAAACCGTTCTAGTCAATCGGATTCTGAAATACTCCACAGTAGCAAAAAGTCTGGCCTCCTCAAGAAATTCTTTGGCAAGAGCAAGTTGCAAAATGTTGAAACGGATCCGGACATGGCAACACTTTATGCATAAATTTTGTATTAATTAAAGAAGGTAGCAAATGCTGAAAGCCAAAGATTAAGGGGAAACTCATGCTGAAGAAGAAAGGACAACCTGTATCTGTGTAATCTTTTGTTCCCACTTAACTTGCAGAACGGAGAAATCATAAAGGGTAGCTCAGAACCGAGAAGAGGCACAAGGAATGAAAGTGCTCATCTCCTAACTAAGGGAATGAAGGTACTACGAGCTTTGTGAATTAGAACAGTGCAAGATACGTTTATTACTAGAGCACAACTGTTCTGTCATACGCAGAAAGAAAGGTACTAAGAGCTTTTAACGTGAGAGCTGTGACCCGGATGAGAAGCAGAGCTGAGCTGTTACAGAGCCGCCCCACGGGCTTCATATCCAGAGAAAGAGCATTATCTATTGTTGTTCTTACAATAATTTCCTTAAGACTGTTAAATAACTCAGTTGTTTACGTCGTTCAAAAGTGTACTAAATTATATCTTCCATTAATTGTTACATTCGAATAATATTCATGCTTTACCTTTCTTTATAGAAAAAAATTAACTGGCTAAGGTACCAGTTCACTCCCTCTCAGTTACCCACTCCAGAGAAACTCTAGGGAACAGATACGACAGGACAAAATAAAAGTCTGAATGAAGTGCAATTTAATCTGAAAGCCATGTCACTTAGTTCTAGTCTATGAAAAATGGGATTAGAGATCAGGGTATCTTGAATATTCAGAAGCTTACTTGGGGGCACATATCACTTTGTATAGGATGCTACCACCTCCTCTTACAGTGCTTTTTAGCATTCTGAATACCTCCTTCTCTTTGTATCCCCCATGATGTGCCTATGATGTAACATTAAAAATTAATCACATTTTTAAAGTCCCCTAATATGTTTTATCTCACAATAGAATTCAAGACAGTATGTTTGTTTCTGGCATTATTTTAGTTGTTATCTTTTCATGCTTTGTTTTTTGGCATTATTTTAGTTGTTATCTTTTCATGCTAAAAGTGACAAAATATTCTGAAAATGAAAACAGAGAAGATAGAATTCTTCCTTCTGTGAAACACATTCAGTGTCTCCCATATGAACAGTGGGAAAGTGTATGGAAAGCACATTAGAAATCAAAATAAAATCTCTTAGGAGTCTGACGGTTTCAGGACGCTAATAAAAAAGACTGCCTGGGAACTAGAACTGTACCAAATTTTATAAAAAATGAGAAGAGAAAACCTAACCAAAGAGGGAGGAAGGGAGGGAGATTTCTTATATTTTTAACTTTTCTCCTCATTCAAAGAAAGTAAAAATGTCAAGAAGTAAAAATATCAGATAATTACCTTGCTCACTGGACTCTCTTACATAGGGCTTGAGGTGGGACATTTTGATAGGTCTTTTAAGTCGGGTCCCAGTGTTGTCTCTCAGAACAGCACATCCATTCTCTGTAATGTAGTCTATGACACAAGGACCAACCCATTCAGACTGGAAACGACCATCCTTCCACCAATTTTTCCTTTGTCTTAAAACTTCATGACCCACTTTTAGATGAAATGGATTTAATTGCTTTGGTTTCTTTTTAACAATGACTTTGTTTTTATTTAGTTCTTTGAAATTGTTGTTCTCCATCTGCAAATGTAAAAGAAGAGAAAACAAAGAAATGAAAGAGCTACAGTTTCTTTAAGATAAATGCAGATATTAATAATATAACAATGGTTATTTATTGAGGTGCTACTAAAAGGTAGACAAGAATCTCATTTAATTCTTAAAACAGCATTTCAAGGTCAGTGTTATTACCCCAACTTTATAAAGAAAATAAAGTAATATGAGATAAAGTAATATGCCCACGTCAAACAACTGGAAAGCAAGAGCAGGGATCTGAATTCAGTTCTACCTTGATTCCAAAAATACATGGTATTGCCATTAATGTCTGTTTGAATTTCATAGCTAATAAGCACACTGTTTAACCAAGACAAGCAGAATTCAGTAGAAAAAATTTGGTTTAAGGGTATATCATATCTATGTCTGTGCGTGTATGTGGATCGTGGGTGTGTATATGCTGAAATTTTTTTTTAAATCACTTCACAGATTTTTTTAGATAGTTTTTTTCTATTAAATAGAATCACCTGTCCTGCTGAAGTTGTCTTATTCGCCATTATTTTATCAGCTTCTTTAACTGCACCTAGAATTTTGGCAAACATACTTGTACTATCACCATCCACTTCACGAAGAATATCTGAAGTCTCAGGCATGTAAGGATTTCGATTAAACATTTGAAAATATGGTGTATTTTTAGTAGGCTCCTATTTTAAGGAAAATAAACAACAATTTGTATTAAAACATGTAGCCAAGAAAATCGTCATAACTCAAAAGTATGGAATTCTCAAAAGGCACCTACCAAGTGAGTAGCGTTGAAGGCAAATGAAACAGCTGACAGGTGATCATCCCAGTTGTTCGGGTAATCAGCACAATGCTTGGAAAGAAACGTTCTGATCGTGCTAGGTGTACTTTCAGTCGGAGTAACAGTTTGGGAGGCATGAGAAATTACAATCTGCTTTGTGCCAAACAATTCATACAGTTCAACATTGATCTGAAAAATACATAAAAAATAAAGCTGATCTGGAAATTTCTATTTGATTTTTCATTTGTTTAAATTTATTAAATAATCTTTCTCTAACTCAATGTATATGTGGTATCAGCTCTATCATTTTAAACATGGTTACCAAAACCTGTGCCAAGAGGCCCCCTTAATGCCTGTTGGACACCCTGAAAACTACTAGCTTAAGGCAGTTTATGATTTCAACCTTATATAAGGCTACATTCCTTTTGATGATGTTTTATCTTTACAGAACTGGTATTTTTGATAGGTGCTATGATAAAGCAACTACTGTGTAAAAATCAACGTGAAACAGGAAGTGAGGATGGCAGTATCCAGTCTGATTCCAAGGTTTCAGAAGCTGAGCAGTGTTCAACAGGTACACATCTCATTAAGTAATTGTGGCTTTTTAAGAATGAAATGAAAATTGGTTTTCTTTCAATTTATGAGTTTTTTTTTAAATGGCTAAGTGGTTAGGTCATAAATATTAAGTTGTTTGGACCTGTGCAGAAAAAGAGTTAACACAGCAGAACTGAGGCTTCTATCCTTTGAAAGACCTGCTTACAAGGCTGGCCCCTGGCTGGTGTGTAGGAACTTGGATTTTGTGAGGGTTTCCGCCATTCCCTAATAAGGGTGGCTCACAGTGCCTACACTGTTGATACAAACAAGATGGTTTATGCTGAACACCTTCTTTTCTTTGAGTATCTAGAATTTTTGGTACATGACAGGTAGAGGGTGTCTATGTACCAGCTTCCAATAAAAATCCTAGGACCCAGTCTCTAATGAGCTTCCTTGCTAAACAACATTTTACATGTGTTGCTACAACTCCTTGCTGGGAGAATTAAACATGTCCTGTGTGATTCCACTGGAAGAGGACGTCTTAGAAGCCTGTACCTAACAAGGATAGGTCCTCTGGACCTATCCCTATGAGCCTTTTCTCTGATGATTTTGCTTTGTAGTCTTTCATTGTAATAAATCTTAGCCATGAGTATGCTGTTCTGCTGAGTTCTCCTAGTGAATTAGAAAACCTGGAGATAACCTTAGGGACATCCCTGGCACAAGACCTAACTACTTGCTAAGTATAACTTTAGGTGTTTCTTTTGGACTGAGATATCAAAGGTGATGTCAACCTAGACAGTTTGGCTATCTTCTTATCCCAGTACCCTGTCAATTATCAAAATTTAAAAATATGCCTCAAGTGTAGTAGTTATATTCCTGTTTTTGAATTTTCACATATATTCCTGCCTGCTTATTCTTTCAGGTTAACTTTAATCTGGATAAAGGCCAGGGCAAGGGGAAAAGCTCCCTCCTTTAATGCTGATTAAATTCGTTAATTTTATAAATTAATTTTGATTTTGGAAAAATTGATGTTTTTCAATATTGAATAGTCTCATTCAAGAACATGATATATTTCTCCCTCTACATGTCAATCACAGAATTTTTAAGCTAGAAGCAAAAAAAGACTATTTGATCCAACCTCCCCATTGTAGTTTGCAGAAACCTGAAGATAGGTTTTCAATTACTTAGTGGCACAGTAGGTACTAAAATCCTGGTCTCTTAACTCCAGTTCAATTACTATACAATATTTAACTTCTATATCTGTAGGAATTTATCTAAACTTACTAAACACCAGATAATAAGGTGTGCTGGGCACTGAAACGTGAGTAAAAGATGCTCCTGGATCTAAGTAGTTTATTTGTCTTACCTGATGAATGAACTCATCTCTTTGGTCCATTATTATTTTCTGAGGAGGTCCATATAAGAAAAATATATTGATAATAGCTTTAGAAATTTCTGATGCTGAAACATCACACAGAGGCAAAATCACAACCCACTTTGTGAACAAATCTGTCATGATTATAGCATATACATGACTTCTGTTGCTTGTATGATATGGGCCCATCAGATCAACAGTAACTATACTCCATGGACTCTCCACCTTGAGATGGTGCTGTTTAGGTGCTAGAATAACTGTATTTTTTGCCACTTGGCAATGCTGACAAGCATACACCTATAAAACAGGCACACAATAAAGAAAAGATACACAAATGTTAATGTGTTCAACATAATAAAAGCAGCTGTATAAATCTGAACTTTAAAATGGTTGATAGGTACTTTGTGTTTTGAAGGAGAATCTTCTGGACTATTCTCAATAAAATAAACCCTTCTACTCAGAATGATCAGCAAATATCACTTGCTACTACTATTCAATGACCATCTTAAGGGGTCTTATTCATATGGGACAGAATTCTGGTTTACAATCAATAAATATTTATTAATTGAATAGATCTTAAAACAAGTTTGCTGTAAGTTTAAATCAGTATGTGAGTATATAATTTCTGTAAGAAAGATTTTTTTATTTTAAAGTTACCACTCTAATAAGTTCATTCATCTACTGAATAATATTTAAAACATAATTTTACTCAAAAAATATTTATAGATGCCAGAAACTCCTCTAGGTCCTGGGAGAATAGATACACAAAAACAAAGCACAGGCTGTCATGGTACTTTCATTTGAGTGAGATGAGAAGAGGGCAGCCGATCAACTATGGATGGTGCCACTCACTGTTCAACATATTTCTGGAATTCCACTTTGGAAACTACTTTCAAGCCAACTCCTGAACAAAGTTTTTTAAATGATCTATTGTACTATAGTTAGTTTTGATCAAAAGTTTTATTTTCTAACTTAATCCTAATGGGTTATAAAGTTATAAAACTCAGACTAATTTCATTATCTTCAAAACTTGATTTTGCATTTGGCTGGTTTTAGATTTCTGCCATATTTGATATTTTCTACATCAAAATGATACAGGCACAAAAGATGAGAGCACATACTAGGCCTGACTTCTTATGAACATATGCTCCTCTCCAAAAAAGACTGCCATTAGAGAGGTAATGATTTATTTTTAGTCAAAAGAATTTCAGCCCCATTTAAATTCTGCCTACACAAAGTAGTTCAGTGATGAAAATTTGGTCTAAATAATCTCCTATCTATAGTATTTTCAAATGTTTAAATAATACTTTGTTCTAGTTCAAATTATACTTTAGTGACTTTAAAGTCTGAAAGGAGAAAAAAAAAACTCCCTTTCAATGTCTTTGTGCAAAAACTATCCACACAAAAAATACCTAATGAAAAGTGATATCTAGGTTAATCTGGAGCAATAATGAATTTTAGATATATACTACAAAGAAATTATTCAAAATATTCTAAATACAGAAGCCATACCCACTGTTTGACATCATTGGTCACAGAAGTCCAATAGTAACTGGATTCCACTAGAGTAAGGGTTCTGGATATGCCATGATGGGCTCCAGTATCATTTTCATGGCATTCTCTTAGGACTTTCTTTTTTTCTTCTTCTGAAACAATTACCAAACGATTTTGTTTTCTGTCTTTTCCAACATAAAACAGCTTTTTTTCTGGAATAAATAATACCAAAAAGATATAATTGCAGTTTTTAGAGATCTATATAGTTTTAAGATAATCATAGCCTATTGTCAAACCATGAGGGTATTTTTGTTAAGTCTTTTTCTCTCTAAGACAGAATATTTGTAATAATGTTACCATACAATCTGAAAGGGCCTCAGCTGTTACACTTAATAGAAAAGTAGGAGAACTAACTGCTGTGTTTTGTAGCTGTCAATACAAGCAGTGCTAGCTGTTCATCAAAGCACATGATAAATATGAAAGTGTGAAATAATCTTTCTATGGGAGTACTCAATCTAGAGAATAGAGTGCTTGCAGCAGCACCTCCTAAAAATGGCATGAATTAGCAAAGAAATTATGTACAGATAAGCAACTTCTGGAATAGAATTTTCCAAAACAGCATTTTATCATCACTGTAGTTTTGTAAGCAACTACCTCTCAAGTTTTTCTGGATTTGAGTAGGAGGTAGAGTTGGTAAAGCCAAGAAAGTGGGAGGACCTTAATCCTCAGGACAGTTCTCTGTTTCCCTCTGGAGACTTCTGAGAAGGTTCTATGGCTGGGAAGCAACCAGGGCAGGGAGAGAACCGCCACCTCTCCAGTGTTGATAAGTAAATATTCAAACTCCAAAATACATCATTAACCTACTAATGTGTTTAATTAGGAACATGCTGAGTGGAACATTCCTTACCTGAGTTAGAAAGTAAGCAACTAAGGGCAGGAGCCTTATCTATCTTATTCATCAACTATCCTCAAGGCCTAAAATGTGACTAGCACATAGTAGGACCTCTGTAAACATTGTTGCATAGATGATTAAATGAATGAATGAATGAAAGAATCCTCTCTTCAGCCTCGGATGTAATAGGTGTGCCTGTACTTAAGTTTAAGGGAGTTATCAGAAGAGGTATACATAGGGAGAAATGAGCAGGTGTTTATTTATTATCTTAGAATTTTCTTGACCTGCTTTGAGAGAAGTCCGATTCTGTACCTATAGGTGAAACTCTCATTAATAACACCAACATTCATTTAGTCATCTGGTGACTGTACTTCTTGTTTATCTTATTCCACACTTCTCTTCTCCTTTGGAGGAGGAGGAGAAAGAGGGGGAAATTATCATACTCTTTCACGATAAACAGTCTACCTTTCAAATATTTAATTCTTTCAGAGGAATTAGGAGTTCAAATATAAATATGATTCTGAGACTACTTAATAGCAGTGGGAGGGAGAAACTACAGAAATAAGTATAGTAAGCAAGTTAACTTTGTCATCACTTCCATGTTACGGATCAAATAAGTTCTTCATTGAGAGTGACATGAGCACTTGAAAGTGCACCAATAGAGTAGGACCTACCTGAGGACAAAAGCAGGAGAGGTTAATTTAGTTATTTTGTCTTTTCATGTTATCATCTATGACTTAAGATGCCCTTTTCAGGCTTACAGGCCTTCAGTCAGCTTCAATGTGATTTTCATTTTGCTCTAGACTGAGTGGCATTATCAATTCAACTGGTAATTGTTAAGCAACAACCAATTACTACAGAAATTCCCGGGATTCCACAAAGTACACGTATGGAGAAGCACTCATATAACCCCTATACTAAAACTTGGGGGCATTAGCTACCTTTGAAGAGAAATTTTTTTGCTGCTCTTCTTATGCCACTTCTCTCACTCGGCAGTGTAGATGGATGATATTCACCAGTTCGTTTGTAATATGCAATCTGTTTAAGATGAAGGTCACCATTTTTTCCATTACGAACCATCATGAACCTAGGTAAAAGGTATTTAAAGATATAATTTGAATGATAAACTAAGTCAGTTGCTATTTAAGTTCAAGCCTCTGTCATATTTCTGCTTACGTGTGAATTGAACATTCCCGGAATGTTATCTGTGACAGAGATAATTGTAGTACAGAAAAGGAACTGTGTGATGTATATGAACTAAAATATTCAAATGCTATTTTTGAGATAAAACATGACACATTATCTTGTCTCTTCCCATGTGAAAAGAATGACTGAAAATTTTCCACATTGTGTGAAAAAAGGAAATGAACAAGTACACGTCAAAAAGTTTTGCTTAAAGTCTCTCATTACCATCATTGAAATGTTACTTACATGGGCTGATTATTCTAAGTTTAATTCACTTTCAATTAAATATATAATTTTTTCATTTTATGATAAATGGTTATATGCCCAAATCAAACAAATGCACCTTATCACAGTTTTTAAAACATCTCAAAAATGAATGGGTCAGATTTTAAGACTATCTATAAAACTACTGTAAATAAGACAGTATTGGCATGAAGATAGACAAATAGGTCACTGAAACAGAACAGGGAGTCCAGAATTAAATTCACATGCATGTAGTCAATTAATTTACAACAAAGGTGTTAATACAATCGAGGAAGAGATGGTATTTTCAATAAATGATGCTGAAGCAATTGGATTTCTGTATCAAAAAATGAGTATAAGCTACCTACCTACCTAAATCTTCCACAAAATTAATTCCGGGTAAATTACAAACCTAAATGTGGAAAGTAAACTATAAAGCTTCTGGAAGAAAACATTATAGAAGTTCTTCAAAACCTTGGGATAAGCAAAGATTTCTTAAACAGGACACAAAAAGCACTATTCAAAAAGAAAAATTATACCAAATTGGATTTCATTAAAACCAAACCTGTTCATCAAAAGACATTATTAAAAAAAAGCAGAAAGGCAATCCACAGACTAGGAGAACATATCTCTAAAATACACATTTAACAAAGGTCTCATACCCAACATATATAACAAATCAAAAAGAAAAGGATAAAACTCACCTTAAAAAATGTGGGGAAAATCTTACATGACATTTCAAAAAGGAGAATATCCAAATGGTTAATAAGCAAGTAAAAACGTGCTCAACACCATTAGCTCCTTGGGGCAATGCAAATTAAAGCCACGATGATTTATAACTACTCACTGTCAAAAAAGCTAAAAATTAAAAACATAGACAACACTATGTTGTGTTGTGAGGACAGGTAACTGAAACTCTCACACATTGCAGAAGTGTAAAATGCTAGAACTACCTTGGATAGTTTCTTAAGCTAAACAAATGTCTACTCTAAGAACTTGGCAATTCTATTTTTAAGTTTATATGCCAGTGAAATTAGTGTATGGCAATCAAAAGATGTGTACAAAAATGTTCAAAGATGCTTTATAGTCATAACCCCTAACAGCAAATAGTAAAGTCATCAAGAGGTTATTCAAGTCCTTGTTCCGTAGACACTTCTGTTTTCCAGTTCCATGTTGCTCTAAATCTTGGTGTTATTTGAACCAACTATGGTGAAGCACGAGTTCTCCCCAACCCTAATCTGGCACATAAGACCCCGTGATGCCTTTGTTTTCATGCCATCCTATCTACAGCCTTTCCCTCTGCCAAAGGACTCTCTGGCAAACTTCCACCCTTCATCAATTTTCAATTTAGGAAGGCTTGTGTGGTTTCAAGTGGGGAATATAGACTGCCGGACTACCTATCCATTTGCCTGCCTGTCACTCTAGCTCTGTATTAATTCTCCTTAACTTTTAAAAAGGCAACCAACAAACAAGCAAAAATCACTCTATTTTATTTTCATCTCTAGGATACACTGACACAAGCTCTTCCAAGTCCAAGAGACAGACTTGCCTTTCCTCAGTTTAGATTAATTCATTATGGTCTATATTCTGTAAAATTTATAATATATATGACCCCAAATTATTTTTTTCTCTTAATGGCTTTGGGGACTACCAGTGTTCTAAATCATCTAAAAGAAAACTTTAAAACATCCCATCTTAGCCACTGGAAGCATAGTATCTGAAGGAAGACAAGGTTTATTTTAAGAAAAAGGTAAAATCTTTTGTTGCCTCTTTTCCAAGGACCAGCAAAGGTTGAAAAATCTCGTGCAGGACATTAAAAAGAAAAGTGGAGAAGCCTTTTCAAGCCTCTAAAAACCCTTCAGGAGCAAAAGACCAAACACTCACACCTCAAAGGAAGTACACGTCCCAAAGCACAGAGGGGTGGTTAACTGTAACTAGTAGAAAAAAAACTGACCACTGGAAAACATCAGTGTCTTCATAAACCACAGCGATGTCTATACTTTACCCTTATACTTAAAAACATCTCTCTTCTAAGTTCCCACAGCAACCCTCCCTGCAGTTTCCCTTCTCTGGGGTCTTAGTCCATTTAGTCTGCTCTAATAATACCATAGGTTGTGTTGCTTATTAACACCAAACATTTATTTCTTACAGGTCTGGAGGCTGGGAAGTTCAAGAGCAAGATGGTGGATTCGGTATCTGGTGAAAGCTTGCCTTCTGTTCACAAATGGTATTTTTGCTACGTCCTCACATGGTAGAAGGGGCTCGGGAGCTCTCTGAACTCTCCTAATTTTATAAGGGCACTTATTCCATTCCTGAGGGTTCTACCCCATGAACTAATTGCCTACCAAAGGCCTCACCTCCTAATACCATCACATTGAGGGTTAAGACTTCAACATACGAATTTTGAGGGAACACGAGCATTCAGTCTATAGCACTGAGGTAACTATAGTTACTTACTAATGGCATGCATGCACCTCTGGTCAGTGTACAACTTCTCAAACTTTGGAATTAGATTAGACACTGCCACCCCCATTTCCTTTTCCATACTGATTTTTATGCAGTATTTGCATTATTATTTCCCCAAACCTACTTTTGCAAAGATATGAAGAAAGGAATGCAGTGTGACATAATGATGAAAATGTGAACTACTTCAAACTTACAGTCCACACGGGATATGATAGATGTTAAATTAAGTACAGTTCTGTTTCCTTTGAAAATTTAAAATGTTCCATGGCATCCTATGAATGCACTATGATGTTCTGGGAAGCCTTGGCATATAGTTTGAAAATTGTGAGTTAAGGCATTTAACAAGTAAATACAAACTAGATTTATTAAGTTAAACTTTTGCATGTTAAGAAAAGGTTGTAGACTGATAACACTGATGTTTATAAATTATAGGTCACTCAAGAGGTACAGACAAATTTTTTGGCAATCTTTTAACTGGAACCAAAATAACCTAGCAGATAACAGTGTTAAGTTCTCTAAGTGTATAACAAAAAGCACTTATCAGGTCAATTCCTTATATTTCTTTTCTAAGCACTGCCTAAACAAAGAAAAAAAGGCAAGAAGTAATTTCACAGAAGAATTAGGTTTCCTACTTCAATTTCTCTTTGTAAAGTTAATTTTTATACTTTTTAAAACATGCATATCATTCTTGACAATGTATATTTCTAGCTTCTAAAAAGTTTAGGAAATAAGACTTTCTAATATGGAAGACCAACTGTTACTAACAGGAGATTTAGTTTATTTCATTGTTTCTATTCTTTGGCATCTTTCACACAAATATAATATAGCAAAGGATATTAAAAATATATTAAGTGGGGAGGATATAGCTCAGGGGTGGAGTGTGTACTTAGCATACATAAGGTCCTGGGTTCAATCCCCAGTATCTCTATTAAAACAAACAAACAAACAAACCTAATTACCTCTCCCCATATATATATTTAATCTTCAAGAAGTAGGGATGTATGAACAGCTTTTTGAAAAATTAAATATACTGAAAAATTAGATCTTGACTAAAGAACAAATGAATATAGTAACGCTGAAAGGAGGCCCAGAGATTATAATTCAGTCTCCCACTTCCCAGATAAGAAAAAAGACTTCAAGTGGTGAATTTAGATTGAAATTGACTGGTAAATTATAATACTTAACAATGGAAGTAAATTACTCCTTTCTGAAATAGCATTTAAAAATTCCCATGTAGGCTTCTGTCTAGAACATAGAAAGCTGGAAAAAGAGTAATTCCCACCCTAACAATGAGAAAAAAAAAAAACTGGATAAACTCACTAAGATACCAGTTTTCCCCAAATTGGATCTATAGAATCAATGCAATGCAACAAGAAACCGGGTTTCAAGACTTCCTTTAATGCTCTAGTAATCAAGACTGTGTTGTGTTGGCAAAATGACAGCCATCAATCCACGGAACAGAACAGTGTCCAGAAACATAGCCACACAGAAACAGTGAACTGATTTTTGACATAGGTGCCAAGATAATTTAATAGAGGAAGGATAATATCTACAACAAATGATGCTGGAGCAACTAACCAAATATCCATATGAAAAAAGATGAATCTGAACTCATACTTTACACCTTCTGTAGAAATTAAAATTAATCACCATGAGTTAGACCTAAATGTAAAACCTAAAGCTAAAGAACTTCTAAAAGACAACAAAAAAACTTTGTGAGTTTGAGTTAGGCAATGATTTCCAGATAGCACCAACAGAAAGAACCATACATAACAGAAAGATGAAAACTTCTTGGTCTTTTGAAGATACTGCTAAGAAAACAGAGAAATCACAGCCAGGAGAAAATATATGCAGTACACATATATATTAAATAACTTGGGTCCAGAATTTATAAAGAACTCTCAAAGCTCAATAATAAGGAAAAAAATCCAATTTTTAAAATAGGCAAAAGATGTGAACAGACACTTCATCAAAGAAGATATGGTTAGCAAATAAACACATGGAAGATGTTCAGCACCATTAGACAATGAAAAATGCAAATTAAAACCACAACAAGATATCACAATACATCCAACAAAATAGCAAAAACAACAAAAACAAAATAAAACCTGGCAATACTCAATACTACTAAGGATGTAAAGCACTGCTGGTAAAAATAAAAAAATGGTGTAAATATGGCAGAAAACAGCTTTAACCCAAAAGAAATGAAAGTATATGTCCACATAAAAATCTGTATATGAATATTTCTAGAAGCTTTATTCATAGTATTGAACCCAGGACTTCCATTAGAAAAACAAAAGTCTAAAGAAAAAAAAAAGTTTCCTGCTAATGTTTGGTATTTACATACAGGAATAACTTAAAGAACTAGTAGTTTTTTCCTTTTCAAAAGTACATTCGCTATTTGATCCCGAGAAACCGCCCATGAGTAGTCAATATGAGAAAATGGCTTTAAGCTGGAATATTCGGAATAAACATAAATATCTTCTTATACTCAAAATATTATTAAACAAAGGTATCATTTATAAGGGAGAATTAAGTGGTTTGAGTTGTAAAAATGAAGTCTACATTACACCTTCTTTGGATATGCTCATATTTTCAAGTATTCTTTTAAAATAATTACTCATGTATTAAAATATGTAGAAATAAGCATAGGTAGGAAAAGTCACTGATAACAACTCCTAATTTTGCAAGAGAAACTGTCAGGGTTAAAGTTGGTTGAGCTTTTTACACTATGGCCCTGACACAACATTAAATGAATTCAATAAATACTTGTGTAAATACTTATTACTTAATTTCTTAAATAATTTTATCTTGTTTGTACAAAAAAGGTAGTTAAGATCACTTTACATAAAATCAGGATTTAACTGTGTTTCACCAAGGGCAAAACCTATCAAGACAACCAATTTAAGCCTCTAAAAGGTCACAATATGCTTGTGTTCCAACTTTAAAACTAAAAATCTGTAATATTTTAATAAATATGTTTATTTGGGCTCATTAATTTTACTTCTGAGTTATTCTTTCTAATCTCTGAAAAATGGAAGAGCACAATTTTATGTCACGATAAAAGACTGGGAAATCTAATTACACGAGACACTTCGCTATAATCTGCTTGACTTCAACGTACAAATTCACTTAACAAAAATGCCTTCATCTCCATATGCATACACATGAAGCCACATAAATGGATTTCCACTGTAAAAAATATTTCTCTAATTTGGCTTAGACAAGTTTATTTAAAGAAAACCCACACTGAGATAGTCATTTTCCTTTAAAACTACAGGACAAAATTCTCCCTTAAATTCACGTTTCTCCCCACCACAGCAGATTTTAATTGGGGGCGAAGATGTAATAGTTCAGATTAACTGACAACTTTGATAAAGTAAGGGGGAGAATTCTTTACTGTCAGCCAAGTGCCTCACTCAACTTTTGAACTTGCTGGGAATCTTGGATGCTACGTTAAGTGAAGCAGCATTTCTAGAGCGTTTTGGCTACTCGTTAACCAATTCTGAAGGGAAAGGTCTAGCTAAACTTAGCATAAACAGGAAAACAACCAGTAAGTAAAACTCGGTTACACCGAGTGGGCCTCACCCCAGGCCCGACAACGGAACTCGCCGCTTTACGGCTCAGCTGGCGCGGGCTTAACGTCCGAACAAGGCCCTCCCGCCCAAGGCGCCTGCGCAATCTCTACGCAGTCAATTAAAGCTTTCCTTAAACCAGTTGACGCGATTGGTTTGGAAATTAATGTCAGGTTACGTCTTGTTTTAATAATCATCAAGTGTGAGCATACAAGAACGACCACTCACCGAAGTGGCCCTAAACGCAAGCGTCAAGATTTGAGCTTCCTCTCGCGACTTATCTGGTGCTGCCGGAAGCGGAACTACCCGAGTGGTTAAGAGGGGAGCCTCGGTCGGAAAAGGTGAGGGCGGATTATTTAGCTCTTGCCGGAAATTGTTCCGGCCGGAGAAGTTTCTATGTGAGACCAGAGGCAGGCAGGGAAGAGGCGTGACCAGGTTTCGAGAGGAATAGTAGTGCCGTGCAGTACCTCTGTGTGGCCCTTCAGTTGCAATTGAAGAGAGCAGGACCCACTTTCAAGCTAGCAGCTGGAGTCTCTTGACACCTCACTCCTGCCCCCAGGATTAAAGGGGAAACCGAGACCTGAATGGGCTCGGTCATCTCCAGCAGCTCGCGTGGCGACCGCAGCCGTAGCAGGTGAGGGCCCCGAGACCCAGGAAGAATGGAGATATGGAACCTGGTCCCCCGAGGTTTGCGCCGCTGCTGGGCAGTCGCTTTGTCTCCTGCTGCGCTCTGCGGAGCCAGAGCACACTGCTCCTAGGGGCTTGTGCCAGAGTGAAAGGCAGCATGGGCACGTAGGAATGACAGTACGGCCCTAGGGGGTCCTTTCATTTATTAATTTCTCCTCCTTCTCTTCTTCTATTGCTTCCCTTTTCCATTTTTTGGGTTTGAGATATGGGAGGTTTCATCTTAGCTGGAAGAGAACTGCTGAGCTCTGGCTGGCACGCCAGGCTGCAGTCTCGCTCCGCCAAAGTAGGCGGTCTCGAATTTGGGGACTTCTATGGGTAGAGATGGTTCTTTTCATTCCTCAGCCTTTATCCCTCTACTTCTTGGCTCCTCCAGGGAGATCAAAAGCCCCGTCCGTTGCAGCATTCCAGATAAGGAAGGAGGCTGCAGGTTAATGCCGCACCTAATCGGTTGGAGAGTGTTGCATTCTCGCACGCTCCGAAGGAGAAGGGGTGAGGGTGGTGACCATTGGGTCTTATTTACCAGGTTCGACTTCCTGGAAGTTTGCGACCTTTGGAGGCCCATGGGTAATGCTTGTCTGGGCTTTAGCGTGCTGGAAAGCTCAGCTGTGCAAGTAGGAAGCTTCCTGGATGACTAGCACCTAGCGTCCTTGCTATACATAGGGA